AAGGAGTTGATGGGATTTGACTTCATTTTCTTTATGGGCCATAATCTCCATTTGCGTTTCCGTGTGTGTGTGTTTATATATATGTATACAACTTTTTCCATCTTTCACGCTTTTTACTCAAATTTAGAATTCTATTATTCCTCGGTGGGTTTTCTCCGTTGAGCTATCATTATACTGGGGCCATTCTGTCATTTTAGTCCACTGCGGTGCTCTCAAATTGTTTGAGGATTGGAAAAAGAAAAGGAGAAAGGTTATTATAACACATAAACACTTACATAATCCAAGTTTAAATTTATTAATTTCTTTTCATACAGTTATTTATAAGATTAAACTCTAAAAGAAATATGTGGAAAAATAAATTGAAATTTAAAAAAATAAAAAAAATTGAAAGGTCACAAGGTCGGTCCATTTGAGGACAAACAACTAAGATGATCAATGAGTTGAAATTTCTTACTTAAAGTGAAAAAAATATAAATAAATAAATTTGCGGCTGTATATAAATTTGGGAATATATTCAACATCTCTTTCACTTGGCAATTGAATAACTCCTTGGGACCATGATTGAACATGCTTGTCGCATAAAGCTGGCTCCATATGATTTCCATTCTTTCATTTTCTTCTTTTTCCTCTTTTTTTTTTAAATTAAAAAAAATCAAAAAATCAAAAAAGAAAAATCCTAATGTTTAATTTTCAAAGATTTGATAATCAGGTCAATTATCGTACCTTAAACAGACTCAATTACCCTAAAGCTTACTTTGGTGACAAGACACTAATTTGAGCACCCAAAAAAGAAGTCGAACAACAGCAAAGAGCATGACATGACACCAACACTTATAATTTTGAAAAGCCTCAGACATGGCTCCCCACTTTGCCAGAAATAAGAGTCCTCAAAATCAAATCACCAATACTCCTTTGCGAACCCAGCAGTGCCAAGTCTACACACAGCCATGGAAGAACCATTCCCACTCGTATCTTCTTTTCCATATGTGGTACAAAAATCCAATAGTGGCTTCTAGCCCCACCCATCAACTTTATAATCCTACAATTACTAACACCGATCGCTTCCTTCCAAAAAACAAAATCGAACAAGATATAAATACTTGTCTAAGTGTGATTGTTTTACTATTTTGTACTGTCACGTGACAATAATAATTCACTAAAAATTTTCCCATTAGAAAGAGATAAAAAACAACTTGATAGTCAGGTTCCTACCAATCCGTGGGCGGCCATGCATCGGTATGGAATACCTGTGTCTTTTTTTGTTGTAAGTTAGATTTTGTTTTTTTATAACTATTTTGTAATGCAACGCGACAATAATACTACTCCAATTAAAATTTTCCCACCGGAAAGAGATAGGAAACAAGTTCAATAATGTGATTTTATGTGTATGTTGGGGTGGGGATGCCTATTCCTTAGTAGGAGATGCGTATGAACATGTCCAAGCATATGAAGTGATCCATGAACTGTGGAAAAAGTTTTTCTTTTCCACGTAAAGAAGAAATTATGGAGATGTGGAAAGAAAAAGAAAGAAAGATAAAAGTGAAACATGAAGTGTGAGAGAGAGAGAGAGAGAGAGAGAGAGAGAGAGAGAGGTGTCATTGGGTGGGGTGGGGTCGTCATATTCATGGGTGAGTGGGTGAGTGGCCTAGTTGTTGATGCTTGGATTTGTTACCAAAAATAGGAATTTATGAGTTTGCTAGTGGGGAACCTAGTTCTTTCCCTCCATTCGTTTCTTGATTTGACAAATTTTCACTTTCCATCATTATATTATTGAAAAAAAATTCAAACTTTCTAACATGCAGTAGGATATTTATTTTTATTTTATTTTGGAACAAGGAGGCCCAAACAGAACACACAACGAACGGGGAGCTTCTACAATGAGGAGTTAAAGTGAGGAGGTTATTTGAGGAGACCGATCCGACCGTCAAAACATTTAAAATATTTAAGTTCCATGATTTCTTTACATTTGTTGATGGTGAGATTTGACCTCCTCAAATAACCTTCTCACTTTAAGCCCTCATTATAGCCTTTCCGCAACGAACGTAACATATTTCTGGGCCTATAAACCCACACAAGTGGAGATATGTGCCTAGCAATTCTTGGGCTTTGCTTGAGCCATTTTGGATGGGTCCCTAGTTGAAAAGACAAGCTGCAGATTTTTATGGTGGGCTTTCAGCTTACGATGTTTTACAAACTCATATGCTTTTACGTATTCCCAGATTCAGATTTCAGTGCCATAAACCCTTTTTTTGTTTGTATTTATTTATGCGTTTAATGCATGGGTGGGAATGTTGTTTGTTCTCTTCTGTATTGAGACTTAAAGCACAGACCACGCACAGTTCATAAGGTGTCATCTGGCTTCATTTACGAAATCTAGGATGGATTATCAAAACAAAACTAACCCTTAATTTGTCAATGAGGTTTAGACTAGTCGAGTGAGAAAGGGTTTTGACTTGTAAATCAGTTATTTCAGGTTCTAATGCACATGTCATTTTAATAGTATGTATATGAGAAATCTCCATTCTTCTTATAGTTTGGACTAGGCTTTGGTTGCATCGGAGAAGACAATAAGGAAGAGAATGAACACGTACGAGATCAACTATCTTTGTCATCAATCTAATTTCTTACTTTTCAAGTATATATGGATGGTAATAAAAGTTTTTTTTCTTCTTAATTCTGAATAAACACCTGAGAATTCATAAATCATAATCTTTAAATGGTACAAAACTTATCGTAATTAGAATTAATCGGCAGACTCAGCACATGGTTTATGCACATCATTCCATAAGATTATTCTGCGTGGGCGTGGCCTAAACTCCATGTGATTATTTTGTCAACCCCACTGTGAATCTATGATATTAGCGATCCTTGTTCCAAGGAAAGCATTGCTTTGCTTTGAGCCGCACGTGTGTTACCCAACAGCACATGATCACACGTATAAAAGTAACAAGGGAAAATCAGAAGATCTTATTTTGTGGGGGAAATATATAAATTAAACATGCTCTTGTCTTGTGTTGTGTCAGATATTAATAATAAAATTAGAGTGAAGGGAAAGATCATCCAAGTTCCTCCACTTCCAATCAAGCATATAAACTTGCATTTGAAGATTCAATAATTTTGTTTGATAAACTGCCCATTTGTTGCTTTTAAAACTCTGAGCCATCACTGGAAATTATATTTTTTTGGTGTGGAAATGATTATAATATAATATATGCACCTAACGTGTGTTTAATTATGCTTTTCATTAGAGATGGTAATGATCTTTACGTCATTCTGTTTTAGAATTTTGTTTAATTATTTGATTAGGGTTTTGGACGCATTCAATTCAACTACTTCTGTCTCATAATCTCATTTAATTATTCCAACCACATCTATAAAACATATATTTTTTTTAAATGCTTGAAATATGCATGGGAATCTAACAAAGATGCTTCTAATTATAAAAAATAATGGCGATATCCTGTGGTTGGATGGAAGCTGGACTAAGTCAATTATAATATCTATTTAGCTCTATTTTATTCCATGTGTCATTGTGTTATTGATTGAGGGATAGCTGCTATTCTCGGCACAAGAGAGTTTCTCTTATATTTTAGAGAGATAAACAAACACCATTAGTCATAATGAATCATTATAAACAAGTAAACAAACAAGCAATCCAAAAAGAAAAAGAAAAAGAAAAACCTAGTTATGTACTGTAGTCTGTATGCAATGCATGGTTTCAACCTGAACCTAATGATAGATCACCAACGGGCAGTTCATTCAAATTTCAAAGACAAAGGCAAACACAAGATGACAAGAAAAATAAAGGAGGTAAAAAGAATTCTCATGATAAGAAGCAGACGGTAAAAAAATAAAGGTGGAAAAAAAGATGAAGGCTTCATGATCCTTTACCGCTGTCACGTGTAAAAGAAGCTAGAAAGTGAAAAAATACACGTATCTGTCAACTTTTTTTTTTGGGTTTGAGAAAACAACATGATGATCTGCGGTGGGTCGTGTTGATTATTTCATGACCCCATTGAAAAGTAGGTTGCACCAGTAAATTTAATCCAACAATTGGATTGGATCCTCCCCCACAAGAACTTTGGCCAGTTAGATTAAAGAAGGTGGACCAAACAATTCAGATTGGGACGTTTTATTTATTTTTATTTTTAAAATATTTATATATCACCTTTTACTGTATTGCATTTCAGGCTGTCTTTTTTTACTTGTGCTAATTTCATTCCTTCTAAGCAATTTTACAGCTGAAAGTATTAGGCTGATTGTACACCAACCATTTAATTAATACAAAATTCGTCACACATTCATTAGGAGAAAGAAAGACAATGATAGAAAGAATATGTGTAATTCTGCATATAAGATTAACACCTCAACATCAGTCCACGTGAATAAATGAGAAATTGTTTTATTTTGACAACTTCTTTGATTTTGCAAACCGGTTCGAATTAACTTTGCTTAAATATCAAGAATATTGTATACGTGAGTTAGTTTAATTGTTCAAGTTAAAATTGTGTACCCATCCTCTTGCGCTTCAATTTCAAAGTTACACGTATTAGAGTAATTTAGAGTATCGCTCGTGTAGGAAAGAAAACATCAAAGACATTAAAAAGCGTTGATTAGGAAGCTTCATATCTGAGCATCAAACAATGCAGGTTGTAACTCATTTTGATTTTGACCTCGTTTTCTTCCATAAGAAAAAAAGTAGCAAATAGTAACCACCAACGTAGTCATTATAGAGAAAAAGGAAAAGAAAACGCGTTATAGGTTTTATTTTTTTATTTTTAAGTAAGTGGAAAAAAGTGAAATGAAAATGGTCCCGTAAACGACCAAAAAGACTTACCACCAAAACGAAGAGAAAAATAAGAAAATCAATGGGACCAGTTTCCACGTGTAGAAATCATATATCGACACGTGTACGACTGCTTCGATGATAGAAAATATGGGCCTACCAAAAACCAAAAGAGAACCCCCAAAACCCATGGCCCTCGCTTTTCAAAGTTGGTAAGACATTAGACACCACCTTCCGCTCTCTCTCTCCATCCTTTAGCTTCAGATTTACAGCAGAGATAGACACAGAAAGAGCACATAAGAAGAGAGAGAGAGAGACTCACTCTCCTCTCTTTCTCTCTCTTTTACAAGCATGCAAACCCTGAACCACGTTGTAGCTTCCACTTTTGCCGCTCCCAGCTCTCTTTATTCACATGCACTCACCTCTTTCCCCACTCCAGTAGCTCTGAGTTTTTTCCACGTTCATGGCGGTCTCAGCAGACGTCGATGCAGTGCTGCAATTCTTGAGGAAAAACGGGCTTTCAGATGCCGAGTCGGCACTCAAAGAGGATATGATTGAAAAAGGTGATCTGGGTTGTCTCGATTACGAGAAATTCTTGTTTCCGATGGTGCCTCCGCCTCCTCCGGTTAGAATTCCGGCGAGTTTCCGGCGATCAGAGGTTCCAGGGGGGGGCGAATGCTCGAGATCGAGCTCGCAGGAAGACGATGAGTTTGTGAGCATGGGGTCTTCTACTTCTAATATGTGCTCATCATCAGGTAGTTCAAAGTTATTGACTTGGATCAAAATTCAGCTACTGGTTGATAGCTATAAGCATATTCTTATCATTTTGAGTTTGTTGTTTCTTCCAATATGCCAAAAAAGCAAAAAGAAAACTTGCGCATTGCTGCATGGAACTTCAACTGACATTTTTTTGTTTCCTTTGTTTCCTCACATTTTCTTTTCCCTGAATTGTGCTTTAGCAAATTGTCTTTTAGTCACTGATGATATGCACATGAAAAGGCATGCTGGAAAATCAAATATCGATAGAGCACCTATAATATCAGTAACTCAAGGCTTATTAAATTTCAGTCTTTGTAAGATTTTCTATTGCTTCCCTAGTTCTTCAGCCAGGAAACAGAAGATTTCCTAGTAATTATCTTGCCATTGTTTCTTTCTGTTAGTTGATAGTTAAATAGAGAAGTCTCTCCCATTTTTCTTTCACAGAATTTACAAATCCGTATGGAATTCGATCGACATCTCCAAGTGGTTCCAAAGCCTCGTCTGATAGATTCTCTCAATTTGGCACTGCCCGTGATTACCATGATTTTGATATGCAAAATGACCTGTTCTGGCACGATGAGAAAGATGATGGAGACTTCATGACTCCTTGCTTTGAAGGGCCAGACTTCTTTGCCTGTCCCAGTGAGGATAAGTACATCATGACTTCGGACACAGACAAGCAAAACGAGAACCTTCCGGGTCTGAATTTTAAATCTGGAGCATTTCAATCAGACATAAGCCTCGATTACTTGGACAAGAATTGTCTTACTAATATTTCTCCCGTGGGTGATAAAAGTGAGCTTTATGTAACAGATCATTATAATTTTGATAAGAAAAATAACCTTGAAGGAGGCTTTGAGGAGGAGCCTGAGGGATGTGCTCCCCCTGCTTCTTCAGTCCACCTTTACAATTGCTGTGTTGGAGCTGAAGGATTTTATGGTGAACATTCTGCAGATTGCTGCTACCGGAGCTCAAAACAAACTGATTTCAATAATTGCCAATTAAAGGTTTTGGGGGACATTCCTCCCACTGACATTGGTTCTGCTCCAAATCATAGAATAAGCAAGAGTTCTGAAAATGACCGGGTTGAAAACTTTAAAGGCTCCTCTGGTTTAGATGGTAAGGTTGTAGAGAAAGATTTCATGCAAAAAGGACTTGATGGCTATGGAGTTGGAGACAGTGAAGTAAATGAAGAACCTTGTGAGCCTGAGGCTGCTGCTGATGGAGATGGTGTTGACACTGATGAGGTTCTGATGTACAATGCTAACGAGGATGAATATGAAGTTTTCGAATTAAGAATCATACACAGAAAGAACAGGTTTGTTGGGAATAGTATGCTTTCTATGGTTTTAGTTCTGTCATAGCTAAATTCTTGGTGTCCGTGCTGTTAAGCAAGTTTTTGCCACTTGTAAGGCATTGACAACTTATTGATTCATCTTGACCAAGAAGAAGCATTTATCTTGGGAGGATATTTTCTTATCTATGTTTTGATAGAGGTTTGAGCTCATGTACGTGTGTATTGATAGGTAACTATCAGTTTTACTCATGTGTTGTGCCGTTTACAGGACTGGATTTGAAGAAAACAAGGATTTCCCCATTGTGCTAAAGACCGTAATTGCAAGCAGATACTATATAACAGAATATATTGGTTCGGCAGCTTTCAGTAAGGTTGTACAGGCTCATGATCTTCACACAGGAGTCGATGTTTGCCTTAAGATCATAAAAAATGATAAAGAGTTTTTCGATCAGAGTTTGGATGAGATTAAACTTCTAAAGTTTGTCAACAAAAATGACCCTGGAGATGAACACCACATTCTGCGATTGTACGACTACTTCTATCATCAGGTATTTCTTTCTGATCCAATGTGAAAAGAACTTCAAATAATTTGCTTCATTTGAGTGGGACACGGTAGATTTCATTCACCGAGGCTAAGTTTATAACCCTATAATTGTTATATATGTAAGAGGAGGAATGATTACTCTGTTGGGTGATTGGAATTCTTACAATGGCATGCATTCTTCAAATTATTTAATATGCCCAAATTTATTCTTGCAAAACAGGAGCATCTCTTCATTGTTTGTGAACTCCTTCGGGCAAACTTGTATGAGTTTCAGAAGTTCAGTCAAGAATCTGGCGGAGAAGCTTACTTCACAATAAGAAGATTGCAGGTGCGTGTTTTATTAACTTGTAATGTTTTCCCTACTGGATTCCATCACTATTAGCAATGGCTTTTCAGCTGCTTTAAAAATTAATCGTGCCCTCTTAACAGGTCATAACCCGTCAATGTTTAGAGGCATTGGATTACTTGCATCACTTGGGAATTATTCATTGTGATCTAAAGCCTGAAAACATTCTTATAAAAAGTTACAGGAGATGTGAAATAAAGATCATTGATCTTGGAAGCAGTTGTTTTCGCACGGACAACTTGTGCCTTTATGTGCAATCTCGTTCCTACAGAGCTCCTGAAGTCATTCTTGGCCTCCCTTATGACGAGAAGATTGACATGTGGTCTTTGGGCTGTATCTTGGCTGAGCTATGCTCTGGGGAAGTATGTCTCTGTTTGCCTCAACTTTATTCATTATGTTCGGCTCTGTTTTATTAATAGCCAATCAAATGATGCTTTCTTTAGGTTCCCATCAACTTGAAGGAATAATTCCTCTGGTAAAAATTTTCGTACATAAATACAGTTATGTTCATAATATCTATGTCTTCATCAGGTGCTCTTTCCAAATGATGCGATTGTAATGATCCTTGCACGTATGATTGGAATGCTTGGTCCTATTGATCTGGATATGTTAGTGAGAGGTCAGGAGACAGATAAGTACTTCACAAACGAGTTAGATCTTTACCACATAAATGAGGTGCATACTCCAAATCTCTCTCTAAATGAGTAGTTATAGACTTTTACAGTTGTTTCCGGTTTTTCACTTAATAGTAAATCATCTTTACTTTTCTTTTTGTACTTAACGAATATAGCATATGGACTAACGCTTGCCATCCCATATCCAGGAGACAAGCCAACTGGAATATATAATCCCTGAGGAGTCCTCCTTGGAGAATCACCTGCAAGTAACCGATGTCGGGTTTATTGACTTTGTTAAAAGCTTGGTTGAGGTCAATCCCGAGAGACGCCCAACGGCGAGGGAGGCAATGGAGCATCCATGGCTTTCCTACACGTACGAATCGAGTCCTTTCTAAACCTGTGGGGGGTCATGGTTTCCCCTCGTGGCTTTATTTGCTGTACATTCAGTTTTGAAGGGCACATTTGTGAGCAGAGTTGAGTTGCATCCTGTGAGGCACAGGACTGACTGGGATGCGCTTCCAATATGCAATATCAGTTTTGTTTTTGTGTACATGTCCTGTTTTGCATTGTCCTGTCGTATATTCTCATGCTGATTAACATATTCATACTTTGTTCTTTGTACAAAATGCTCCCATAAGCAATCTCTGAGTGACTGGGTCATAGAAAATGTAATAAAATCTTTTTGGCGTCGATTCGGTTCTTTTAGATGCCAATTCAACGTTGGTCGTTTCCTCATTCGGTATGCTATCCAATCCAATCCTATACACCAAATGGTCGTTTTCTCATTTGATATGTTATCCAATTCAAACCAAAGAATTTGTTTTCTAAGAAAATTTAAATCTTTCCATGATTGATAAGTGAAATTGTTTGAAGCTGTCAGTGCCAGGTTTTATGAGATGAGAAAATGACCTTCAAATTTTCCATTCGTAGAAATGAAAGATAAAAGATAAAAAACCTTGACCAAAAAAGACAAAAAATAATAATAAATGTTCCTCATCCACTTTTGCTCATCATCACGAATCACTGAATGCAGACCCAAAAACACTGAATTATTTCAGCGGTGATGATTTTATCAAACGGAAAGTTGGTCTTAAAGAAGAAAGGATTGTCTCTTCTGATTGGCGCGACTAGGATTTACTTTCCCACTTTTCTCCACGTTCCACGCCCTCATTTCGCGCGTGTAAATTTTGTCAAAACCTCCACTCGGAAACCCCTCAAAACTCTCTGTCACTCGCCTCCGCAGCGCGTCGGCGTCCGCAACCCGACCCTCGCTCTAGGCTTCGTCGAAAGCAGCATCGCCGAGAAAACAAGGAACACGATAGAGACAAAGAGGTGGTGTGTTTGGTTTTGATTGGCTGATGAGAGTTTAGAGTAAGTAAGAGAGAGAAAAGAGTCGCAGTTAACGAACGAACAAAAAGCCCAATCAATCAGCCTCCTCTGTTCTGACAACCAAAAACAATGGCCGAGTTGACTCAGGGCGAGGTGGTCTACTCGCCCAAGACTCTCCAAGTATGGCGGGCCTTGGTGAACTGGTTCGGCTTCTTCTTCCAGATCTTCCTCCAAATCCTCAGAGCCCTCGGTCACCACCCTCTCCTCTCTTCTCAAATCCCGCCCCCAACGCCCGCATCCACAAGCTCACGGTACGCTTTCGAATTTCAGCAACTTTCAATTTTTGTAAATAAAAATCTTGAATTACTGGAATTCTTGTTCTAATTTTTGGTTTTATTCATGTTCTGTATTAATCAATTAAAAAAAGTTTTGATTTTGCTATCAGTGGAATGTTAAATATAGAAGCTAATTTACGAATTTGATGAATAATTAAAGCTAATGGGACGAAGAATTAGTTTACTAAAAATGGCTGGATGATATGGAAATTCAGTAGAGAGAGAGAGAGGGAGGTGTGGTGGGTGCGCAGTGCACTCTTTCTTTTTTGTGTGTTTGGCACTAAAGAGCTACTACTACAGGTAGTTCTTGACCTGGATGAAACTCTAGTGTGTGCATACGAGTCGTCTAGCTTGCCCGCTGTCGTTCGAGATCAAGCTACAGAAGGTGGGTTGAAGTGGTTTGAGCTTGAATGCGTATCTTCAGACAAGGTGCTTTTCTTCTTTAATTGATTATCTTGTCTACATTCAAAAGATGCAAAGTTTGTTTACACGAGTGTGTTGGAGTTTGAAGGAATGTGATGGGAAACCAAAGGTCAATTATGTTACTGTCTTTGAGCGTCCCGGGTTGCAAGACTTCTTAAGACAAGTCAGTCAGTTTGCAGAGCTGGTGTTGTTTACTGCTGGTCTTGAAGGTTTGCTTATAACCTTCCATTTCCTTTTTTATTTTTCTCTTAATTTGGCCCTTCCTTTTCCTCTAACTATTTGGAATGTCTATGTTTCTGAATTGTATCAGGTTATGCTAGACCACTTGTTGACAGAATAGATGTTGATAATTTATTCAGTTGTCGACTTTATCGGCCTTCAACAACCAGCACGTAAGTGATGCTCCCTGTATTTTTCATCTTCTGTAAACAGTTTTGGGTCTCTTTTCCAAAATTAGTAGCTATTTGCAAGGAAAACCTCATCTGAGATTTTATCCGACCTATCTACATGAGTTTCTTCTGTTGCTTTTGCAAAAAATATGTATGTCTCACGTTGATGCCCGTGTAATTGTCCTCTTGAAATTGCTGCTTCAGTATTTTACTTGGAGATCGTCGTATGTCATAAGCACTTTCAGACACAGAAATCTTATGGTCCTTCATAACATGTCACCATCACTTACGTGTATGATCACCCTATAAAGTTAGCCTATTACCAGCAGCACTCTAGTCTCTAGTTGTCTTCTAATTGAGTGTGATAAAATATTTATGCTCTTACAAGAAACCACATCATAAATGCCATATTGAGTTATAAGGTGTATTCATGTTGGAGTAGCACGTACGCAGCTAGTAATTTTCGAACTTTTTCTTGATGGCTCATGAAATTATTAGAGTTATTTCAAGCTCTGTATAGAATGTAAACTTAACAGAAGATTTTCGACATATATCTATACAGTTTATCACTTTCTGTGTTCCTATGTTTTATTGCTTAAGTCGTTATCCCAATTTGTCGATGTATACTTTTAGGCAGCCTTGTGGCTCCGTGAGTATTGTTACTGACGTTTTGTTTAAATAGCTCAAGTACTGGTATTAAGAGGATTTAAACCCTTGGTTGTTCCCAGCTCAAGACTAAGTTGTTTAGTTTGGTAAAACCTCTAATGTTGGATGAATACAGGGAATACCGGGAGCATGTGAAGGATCTCTCTGGCCTAGAAAAGGATATGCGCCGAATTGTTATCGTTGACAACAACCCTTTCAGTTTCTTGTTGCAACCTTTGAATGGAATTCCATGCATTCCATTTTCTGCTGGGCAAACACACGACACACAGGTATAAAAATCAAACTTATTGAAATTTCCGGCTCTTTACCAGCTATTACGTAACTTCTTGGTTTCACATCCTTTTCCTTTCCTCTTAACCTTTGTTGTTCAGCTTTTGGATGTTCTTCTCCCACTCCTCAAGCACCTCTCACTGCAGAAAGATGTAAGGCCTGTGCTTTATGAAAGGTTTCACATGCTCGAATGGTTTCAAAAGCAGGGGATTCCTTCAACAAGTTGGAAATAGTAGGATTTTCAATAATTATATGCAATGGAATTCCCATTCTTCTTTCATGCAAATCCTCAACCGTTGCTTAGTTCAAGCCTCAAAGGGAGTGTCTGTACAGCTTCAGTGTGTGCACTGCAATTTGTTGATACAAGGCTGTGTTTTGACCAGAGGTCCAAGTGCTTCATCTCACTATCATACGAAAACCATTTATGTATCTAGATTTGTTTACTATGATTTTTGTGTAACTTTGTCTATATTGCTTGCTGTTCTCTTCAATCCCTTATGTAATTTGTTAGGATTTTGTGAAATTGTTGCCAATAATTATTAGCAGTTTATACGTTTCTCATCATGCTTGTGTTTTATCTGCTGCTGATATGAACTCAAAAGAGCCAGAACTCAACGGAATGCCATCAGTTTGCATGTGTAAGCGTACGTGCTCGAATTGGAATTACACCAGAGATTTTCTAAGGCCATCTCAAATGTAATCCTATATAGAGTGAAACTTAAACCACCAAAAAAAACAGAGTATAACTTGGCTTAGACCGAGTCTACTCCTTCATAAATAGATACATAGGAAGAAAAAATCAGTTCTGTCTGGTCCCGAGTTGAGTGTGACCAGAAGTAACCTAACAATTCTAATCCTAGCCCCTTGAGCCACCAGAAAGTACATTGACGGACCAAACTTCAGCCCAACTGCTAGTCTCTGTGTCACTTTTTGGTCAGAGGAAAAACCCAAAAAGAGTCTTTAGGGCCACCAAACTGGACTGAACTATGATCATGTGAATTGACATTTTTAGGCTGAGCCTGTTGGATGGTTAACGCTAGGCCTCAGCTGCCTGCAACCGCTGGTAAATTTTGATTCACCACCGCCAAGCCTTTTTTCAATACAAGCGATAGTTTACAAGGTGGAGGGGTTTCTCACACACACATACTATCAAAGTATCATAAGCCATCACCGAGCCTTGCCCAAATTAAAATAAACTCTACATATCTTCACCTTGCCCTACCTTGATCTTTGTGCCTCTCAAATTATCTGGCACAGCAACAAGGACACCCTTCTTTCTTCATAACTTCTTTAAGGTTGTTTAGTTGTTAATCGTGTCGTGTTAATTGAGGAGCAGCCAGCAATCCGACATTATGTTAGGCACTCATGGTTCCTTTAACAGCTTGGCTCTTATATATTCAGTGACAAAAGGCAAAGGCACGAGGGTCTGCCTTATTTTTCACTTTTTTTATTATCTATATTTGTATTTTGTGTTCATTCATTCTTGCCTTCTTGGTAATTTGGCTGTCGCCTTTCATTTAATTAATTTATTTTTAAATGGATCGCTTTCTCAAAACTTGCCAAACCCAGACAAGCTGAATCTTGATAACATGCCTATGTTGCCTTGAGTTTCATCGCCAACTTTTCTCAACCTCACAAAAAGCCCGGCATTTCTAGGTTTCAGCTTGGCCTTTGTTAAAAACAATAATAAATAAAACTGAAAATCTGGAAAAGGCCAACTTCTGCATCATTATCTTTATATGATGCACTGCATATATTATTATATCTGTAGCCAGTCAACATTCGACACATATAATATATATATATTGATGCCACAAGATTGGAGAGTCTGTGAGGATAATTTTAATGTATTTAAAAAAGAATTAAAAAAAACATAATGAAGTTGGATATATTTATTAGATTAGCTCTGTCCTAATCTTGAGCAACAGCTATGAGTTACTAATAAAAAACTTGGGCCCAGATGTTCTTGTTGTTCAATTATTTTTGCAGTTGGTTGCCTTTTTATTATATCTTAACTCTGCTGACAACTATGCACTACAACTTTCCTTCACAGTTCACACTATTTTTAAATTTATTTATTATTGTTTTATCATAAATGAGGTTATTTTTTCCATTTGAGTGCTTTAATTATATTCAAGCCTCCTTTGGGCAGTTTAGGAGATTGCTTAAATTTATCTAATGATCAAGAAATATTGGGTCAAAACTCTTTTTCTAGTCAAAGCTCAAAAGTACCTTTTTACTATCTTATTTCATTAGTTTAGATAAATACAAACCCCATCTTTTGTCTAAAAGCAAAAGCTATGTACAAGAATGTGAAAGTATCGTGAAATAAACTACAATTTATAAGTGAGTAGGTCTTTTACGATAAAATTTCATCTCGCTGGATTATACATGTAATTAAGTTGAAGATAATATCGATATTGATAGTAACGAGTTATTGATCAATCTTTCTAAAAATGTTTATCATATTTTGACAAAAATGTAGAAAAGCCTAATGAACTGAAAACTAGATGAAGAAATCTGCACCTCCTCTTCCACTTCACTTCAACCATCACACCTCTCTCACCTCCTCCTCGTCTCTTCCCATCACAATACATAAGTTCTTTCCTCTCTCCCTCCCATGAGATCTGAAACCTAAAATCCTCTTCTCTCCCTACGATTTTCTTAGTCGTCTACTGGCTTGCTGCATCTGCTTCTCCCCTACAACCCGTCTTCATATATGAGCTTTTGTTATGGAGGCGTGGATGTACTAGACTTTTTGTAATCTCTATTTGGTAATGACATGTTCATTCTTTTGAGAAAATAAAAATAAAAATCTGCAGTATGCACAAAGCAACCAAATCTTCAGTATATATGCATTACTAATTAGTGTATTCAGACCCAAAAAGAAGAAAGAAAGAAATAAAGAGAGTCCTTATTTTGTTTCATTATGAGAATGACTCTGTCTTTTTCACACGTCAAACGTTGAAATGCGATTAGACAACAGAACAGAGGTTCTTCCTCATCTTGAAATGCAATGCAACTAATTAATTATCATTAGGCCATGTGCTTAGATTACTCAATATTCACGTACACACTACACAATTTAATTAACTAAACACGTCTGCTTTACCTTTTCTGAGATGATTTGAATATACTTATATCTATTTTTGCCAACATTCTTTTTGTTTGGTCGATCAGCTCAAGTTTTCTCCATTTAATAGTTTTATTTCCCTTCTCATTTGGGGGCTTATATATACATCTGTGTGTATTAATTAGGTTACAACAACAATTACATCCATTTTTTGAATTGGTCATAGGTATACAATTCCTCCCATTTTTGAGTTCATATTTGCAAGTTGTGTTGCAGTTTTTAATTGGAGATTGTGTGTTAATTGCACCTGCTGACCTAAGGCAGGTCATTAGGTGAGCGGGATTGATTTTAATAATAGTCGTATCAAACTTATGTTCAAAAAATTAAAATTTTAATAATGTGAGTGGTGAGTATATCTCTGGCGAACAAATCAAGATTCAGTTACATGTTCATATTAAACTTGACAAATTCAGCTAAAAACCTTAATATATATATATATATATACACACGCGCTATGCAAAAATGGGAAGAAAAAGGGAGACTTTGTTTGTGAATTGTGATGGTGAAAGATTGGGTGAATTGGTAAACTTGAAAAATAACGACAGGGATGTATTTATCTGGGATCTTCGAGTGACCTGCCCACCTTTATTTGGGGTCTCTGTCAAACGTGTTTGACCACGAAACCACCCTTCTCTTTCATTTATCTTTCTTTTTGTTTTCGTTTCCTCCCTCCCTCCCTCCTCTAAAACATTTTATTTTATTTTACACTTACTCAATCACTGATTATGTTTCTAATTTAAATATATGAATTGCTTAATCCTTAATTATGTTTCTAATTGTCTCAAATTCTTTTTGGCTTTTGCTTTTGCATTTGTTTGGTCAAATATCTCACCCTACCTACTCCCTCATAAATATTTTCATTTCCTGAAATCCCTTTTTTTTGCATGATGCATGCACATTACACGTGCTTCACCCCTCGGGGAGCCTAATTCAGATTTATTTTCCCACACGTGTTATGACTGTTCCCAGCGGCTTTCTAAAACTTGGTTCCACACAACTAGTTCCATAAAGAAAAATACGTGAAGAAATAAATAAATTCAAAGAATGACAGCAAATACAATGAAAAATAAAAATTAAATCAAATTAAATAAAACATAGTTTTAAATGGTTCAGTGGAAGTTTAAAAGATGGTTCCGCGGAAGTCACCCAAAGGCCGTTTACACCATATATGACACAAATGCAGTTTTATTTTTCACTATAGGAAACTGTAAGCTTTTTAGCGTTCGGAGGAGTATCTTTTGTGATAAATTTTACTCTTTGCTCCCCCCACTTGTTTTTTTTCCTCCATTGTCCTTTTCAATCATATTTGCAATACATTCTAGGAAGGAGTTCAAGCATTACTCAAGACTCAAGAGGTTCGTTCGAGGAGCGACCCTAGAGGTTTCGGAGACGACTACAATTTTAGTATTCTTTAAATTGGCTTTTGAAAATTATTAAATTAAAAAAATGGCTAAAGGGGGGAAAAAAATAAATTGAATAAGGAAAATGGCTAGTTTCGAAAATGTCCCAAACAAAAAAAGGAAAAAGAAGAATGAAATAAACGGATTAATATAAATGCTGTGAAACAAACTGAAACCCGAGTCTTTTATCAGTCTCTGATTCTGAGCTCCCAAATCTAACTTTGGATTTCTCTGTGTCTCTCTCTTCCTCTGTGTCTGTGTGCATGTAGACGCCTGAGAGCTCCACCAATGAAGCAGACCAGAGAGTCCAAACCCACCACCCATGCCGTCAATCTCCGCTCTTTTAGATGACGAAACTACCCTTCTCTTTCCTCACCACCTTCACCACCTTCATCACCACCCTCCTCTTCATCCTCCCCTCAAATTATGCCTTAGGCTCCGGCTCCACCCTCGCCATCGTCTCCGCATCCGGCACCGTATGCGGCCTCGTTTCAGGCCAACCGCGTCAGCGCATACTCTGCTACCGCCGTGGAGAAAACGTCACCGTCGAACCCAACATCTCGTTCTCAGCCATCTCCGGCGGCCGGGCATTCCTCTGCGGCATCCGCTCCGGCGGCTACAGCCTCCTCTGCTGGGACAACCTCTCGTCCCAAAACTCGACCTTTCATTCCAAACGCCTATACGTCAACGAAACCTTTTTGTTAGAAAATCTGTCAGTCGGCGACAGCCATATCTGCGCTAGAGTGGTCGGTACAGGCGCTGTGAAATGCTGGAGAGCCGACGACTTCTCCGAATTTCCATCTGGGTCGGAGCAATTCGAGTCAATTTCATCTGGGTCGGGCTTCTCTTGCGGAATTTTGAAGTCTAGCTTTCGGGTTCTGTGTTGGGGGTCTGGTAGTACTTCAATGGCGAATGAGATTGAAAACGGGTTCAGGAACATGTCAATGTTGAGCATTGTAGCCGGTGGTTCGCACGTGTGTGGGCTCAACATTACTGGGCTTCTGGTCTGCAAAGGGAGCAATGATCATGGC